TGAAGATATTGCTTAAACATTAAGAATATAGGTAATAGTTGACAACAAGGCATGTAATGAATATTAAAGTGAGTCGATATTAAAATACTAAGCTGACCTTAATATATTATTTAATACATTGAGGTATCCATTGATGAAACAAATATAATCATATAACAATAAATATAAATATAACAAATATATAATAAATATAAATATAACAAATATATATATAATATAACAAATATATAACAACAAATATGTAAATATATATAACAATATATATAACAATATAAATATAACAAATATATCGTAAGTATAAAAAATGCCATTAACTAAAAACGAATATATCACGTAGCCCCTTTTCCATGTCCCAACAGAGAGGTTGTATATACTGTAGATACGCATCTGTATAGCACATATGTACATTATGTACAAAACGGCGCAAATATGTAAGATAATTGGACCTGATACAGATCCGAACAGAATGTCATTGTTTTATAGGCAAGTAATAAGGGTCAATCATGAGGTACTGAATTGCAGTGACCGAATCTTATCTTTTTGCCTTAAATATTCGATAAGGTTATAAATAACGTCTCTTTTGAATACCTTAAGTGTCCTTTGGTATATAGGTGGAGGGGGGGGGGTTTCCATGTAAAATGAAACAGTAAAATCCATATCTTTATATTTCATGATAACGATATAAACAACTGTGGATGAAATTAATACGAAACTGAATTTTACAACTGTATAAAATGGGGGTTTGTTATTTCGTATTTCATTGTTATTCGGCATTTTTCTTCAAATTTCGCATGAAACTATTGCCAGCCATTCTTAAGCTTGTAATCGATTCGAAGAACTTTCCTTACAGTGATATCCATAGCTTATTATTCCGAGGGATACCCAACCGCATTTGAGCACCAACTCGAATTTAGTGTCGCTCTGAAAAAAGTAGCGGGAAATTGCTAAACACTCGTAACAATTAAGCCTCTCCCAAGACTTATATTCAGATGACAGGTTAAAGTTTTCCTGCTATAGTTCGTGCCCTTTGGAGGTGTCAATAACCCGGCCCGCTGTGGGGATCGAATATCATAAGATCTTAATTTTCCCTATTCTTGCGTGCGTCACTGGTCTGGCTCTCTTCTTCATTCTCCTCCCCCCCTTCTCTCTCTTTCTCTTCCTACTCTTCCCTCTCTCTCTCTCTCTCTCTCTCCTAGGCTCTGTTATTGAACTTGTGAACGTCAACTTGCAGTGTCTCTCCTATCTTTACTACGGCTCTTTTATGGTAGAGACAACTAATATTTTGTAAATAATTGCGCATTTGTTTCCTATGAATGGGAATTATATTAGTTTTTTTCTTCTAAATTCAAATCCCTCAAGGAAGTATAATTTATGTGAATCAAAAGCTACACCTTTATCAATGCAAACTAGTCTCACCTTCTCTAGATAACTTGATTGCATGCGCATTTAAAATAGAAACTTTTGCAAAATATATTTTAGGGTCGTCAAAATGTTTGTTTAGTATATATATATATATATAATATATATATTATATATTATATACATATACATATACATATATATATATATATATATATATATATATATTATATATAATATATATATATATATATATATATATATAGAAAATTGTTCGAATGCTGTAGATACATATATGCATTCCATACAACCGCTCCCATTTAGTGCATTGGGGCAGTGGTTTCTATCCATTAATGCTACCTTTCCTTGAATAATTTACCCCAGTGTATTAACCACCGTAGAAAGCTATTACAGAGTTACTCTTCTTACCAAGAACCTGTTCGCCTCGGCAAGAAATAGCAGCGAAGGAATAAGAATCGATAAAACTGTACTCTTCCCTAATGACTCTCCTTATTCGGAAATCATCTATCCTTGTAGTCAACTTCCATGCATTTTTTTCTTTGCAAATAATAAATAAAATAAATATATATAATATAATATATATATAATATATTTATATAATATATATATATATATAATATATATATATATATATATATATATATATAGAGAGAGAGAGAGAGAGAGAGAGAGAGAGAGAGAGAAGAGAGAGAGAGAGAGAGAGAGGAGGGTGAGAGGGAGAGAGAGAGAGAGATAGAGAGAGAGAGAGAGAGAGAGAGAGAGAGAGAGAGAGAGAGAGAGAGAGAGAGAGAGAGAGAGAGAGAGAGAGAGAGAGAGAGAGAGAGAGAGAGAGAGAGAGAGAGAGAGAGAGAGAGAGAGAGAGAGAGAGAGAGAGAGAGAGAGAAGAGAGAGAGAGAGAGAGAGAGAGAGAGAGAGAGAGAGAGAGAGAGGAGAGAGAGAGAGAGAGAGAGAGAGAGAGAGAGAGAGAGAGAGAGATAGATAGATAGATAGATAGATAGAGAGATAGAGAGAGATAGATAGATAGATAGATAGATAGATAGAGAGAGAGAGATAGATAGAGAGAGACCTATATTAGTAAAACATAATTCCAGGTCCGAGCGCACGGGATCCGAGCGTGGCCATGGCTTCGCCCGCCGACAGCCTCTCCGACGCCGAGGCCGCCGGGAAGGAGAGGGGAAAATGGTCTCACAAATGCGACTACCTCCTCACAATGACCGGTTATGCCGTCGGTCTGAGCAACGTGTGGCGATTCCCTTACCTGTGCTATATCCATGGCGGAGGTAAGAATGAGAACAGGAGACGCCGTGGATAATGAGAAAGAGAAAGATAAGTGGCCATGTAGATTAGCGTCTCGAAATCGCTGTTGAGTCGCCTTCGTGGCTGATCATTGGCATCAGTTTCCAGATCCCAATTCTTTTAAATGGTTCTCGCGGCTATACAGGGGCGTTCTTGGTACCATACCTGCTGATGCTGGTGTTGGTGGGCTTTCCGCTGTTCTTCCTGGAGACGTCCGTGGGTCAGTTCAGCTCCTGTAGTTGCATCACCGTCTTCTCTGTTTGTCCTGCTTTCAAAGGCAAGTGTTCCTGGGGTTTTGGTCGTGCTGGGCCATGCAGGTGAGACCTCTGGATGATTTTTTTTCTTTCTATTTTTTATTCTTTTATTTATTTTTGTTTGTATTTTACTTTTTGTTTATCTTTCTTCTTTTTTGAGGAAGAAGAAAATATATATTACAGAAACACAGTTTCATATGCTGTGCAATGTAAGTATCATCAAGTGAATCAAATCAATATATGACTCATCTAAAATGACCTCATAAATGCCAGTGTTATCATGTACATGCATAATTAACAATCTTTTTACACGCACTTCAAACACAGCCGCTCCAAAGAAACGCACTTGCCAGAAAAATAATCAATTTAATTCATGACACCCTTACTCTGCCATGCAGGTCTTGGCATGACGTCCGTTGCTGTCAACATGGTAACCCTGACATACTACACTGTCTTGGTGTCCTTTCCCGTCCTGTTCCTTGCCTACTCCTTCACGTGGGATCTCCCTTGGGACTCGTGCGAGAACAGCTGGAACTCGGCCAACTGCACGATTGTATGTATGATAGATTTACACCAGTATTTTTTTTTCCTCCCGAATCAATTAAGTGAAAAAGCCTGACGAAAGAAAAATATGAATTATATCTACTTCAATATTTTCCTGAGCAACCTTTTATATACAAAATGTATTTTTCTTCTCAATTTCTTTGTTCCTTTGTACATTTCTGTACTTATTCACCTATTTGTTTATTAGATAACTTAATTAACGTGATGTGCTATCCTTCCCGTTATTATGCGGCCAAAGTAATAAATACCCATCATTGCCCAGAGTGTTTATATAAGATAAATCACCCACGAATGCAGATCTCTATCTCGGTCTTGTTTAAAAAATCAAGTCCCAAAATGCGCCCCAAACAATCTGTTCTCGACTAATTCAGCGACACAAATATAACGATACGAACGCCGAAATTGATAATAGGACTTGAGAAACACGGATTGTCATTTAGCGCCAATCTATCGCCGTAATCATGATAACTTGCATGTTGATCTGCATCGAAATGTATTATTCAGGAACACGCACAGACAGGAACACTTCGACAGGAAGAAGAATAGGGGGGGAAGGAGAGACACAATGGAAATGAGAAACAGAAAATGAGAGACAGAAACGAACAGAAAAAATAACGATTGGTTGGTGTGTAGAAATGGAGAGAGAGAGAGAGACAGAGACAGAGACAGAGACAGAGACAGAGAGAGAGAGAGAGAGAGAGAGAGAGAGAGAGAGAGAGAGAGAGAGGAGAGAAGAGGAGAGAGAGAGAGAGAGAGAGAGAGAGAGAGAGAAAAGGGGGGAGGGAGAACACACACATACAGAGAATAGATATATAGATATATATAATATAGATAATAGATAGATAGATAGATAGATAGATAGATAGATAGATAGAGAGAGAGAGGGGGGGGGATGACACACACATACAGAGAGATATATAGATATATATAGATAAGATAGATAGATAGATAGAGAGGGGTAGATAGAAACGGTGGACGATCCTTACACAAATAGATAAATAGATTAATGGATAGATATAGAAGAGCGGGGCTTCGCATAATTCAGATCTATTAATTAAATTGCCAAAATACACAGTGTATTGTCTTTCTATTTCACATTTTTTCAAAGGTATACCATGCGCAGAAACATATCATACAAATTCATAAGTAGTATATATATATATATACATGTGTGTGTGCGCTTGTGCGTGTGTTTACGAATGTGTATACATATATGTGTGCTTCTGGGCATATAAAAATTATATCTCGAAGACTATACTCATAAACTATGATGAACATTTAACGAACGTGGAACCTCTGTTTACAGGGTAGGCCTAGCGAAGGAGCTGACATGGGAGGCGGCGTGTCTTCAGCTGAGGAATTCTTCCAGTAAGTATTGCATCTGTCGATTGTTTTCTTCAAAATATGTATGAATTTATCGAGTACCATTATAGCGATGCTTGTCGTTGCTATATTTACTTCAGCGAGGAGACAAATAAACTAAGTAAAACATAAAGGTATACTTGAACATCGACAAACACATATATGAAGCTCGCAAGAACTATAATTTGAACTGTATTCCTGGTGCGTTTGTTTACTTCCTGAGTTACCGAAAAAGACAATGAGCGGAAGGCATGTGGGACCAAAGGTGTTCTCAGACTCAGCATTAACTTCCGTCTTTAACATGAACCGATATTTTCACGTTCGCGGGTCTGAAATATTTGGGGGAAATAGCATTATGCATTGCTTTGTTCGAGAAGCCTCCAAAGTAATACGTAATCAGTTGACAGAAAAACTTCACACTTATAATTAGGTTTGGTTTGTATATACTGAATATTTAAAAGATACGGGCTTATGAAATGCCTAATAGCATGGATCATTGTTATTATTAGTAACATTGATGATGTTAATAAGGATATTATTGTAATAAGTACTAGCTGAAAAGTATTTACACTCGCGTGTCTGTGTGTATTTATATAAATGTATGTGTATACATGTATATATACACACGCATATGTATACATACATATATATGCATATGTATATTTAAACATATACATACATGCATATATATAAGCATATATATATATATATATATATATATATTATAATATATATATATATATAATGTGTGTGTGTGTGGTGTGTGTGTGTGTGTGTGTGTGTGTGTGTGTGTGTGTGTGTGTGTGTGTGTATGTGTGTGTGTGTGTGTGTGTGTGTGTGTGTGTGTGGTGTGTGTGTGTGTGTGTGTGTGTGTGTGTGTGTTGTGTGTATGCATGTATGTATGTATATATGTATATACATATAATATATATATATATAATATATATATATAATACAAATATATATATAGATATGGATATATAATGTGTATGTACGTGTTTTCTTTTCATTTTCCATTGGTTTGGGGATATGTAATGTAGTATAACATTTTTACTAGATCGTCCTGCTCTAGCAACAGAAATATAATATTGAAAATCTACACCACTACCAATGAAAACAATATAGAGTTTAATTTTTAATACTGATATACTTTCATATTAATAGGGTCACGGCTAAGAAGAGCAAGGTTCAGATTTATCTTTCGTATGTGTGAGCTTTTATGCGACAATAATAGTTACCCTTTTTCTTATATCACTTATGCTTTAATATTGGGCATATTCAGGCCTCCAAGAGTGTTTCATGACGAATGACATAGGGGGAAGCATCTCGTGTTTTATTTACATAATGTGTTCGAATGGTTAAAAGAATGTTACGAAAATTTATATTAGGTTCTACATAATCATTTTAGTTAGTATGAATGTATAATTTAATATACAGACGTAAACTTACATATCCTTTTAAATGAAGTTAATTTTGATTAATAAATAGTGTCATTTTCAAGATCTTCTTAATCGGTGTCGATAGAGGAAGGAAAAGGTATGATGGGAGGCGCTTAGGGCCCGCACATTTTCAACTTATTTCCGTCATTTATTTTGTAATTTTAAGATGTTGATAACTAACAGCTTGCATTTGTTGTTATTTTCTAATGTTAGATCAGTAAAACAGTGGTTTGTTAATTGATACAAAGAACAAAATCAACTCGAGTACGATTCCTAGGATTGGGGGTGGAGCCGCACAGTTGGCAACAGCGTAGAAGCATCGGCAGCGTTGCTGTCGCGATCGGCCCAGAGAAGTGTCGCACATGAAAAAAACGACACTTTCTAGTGTAGTGAGACTAGTGTCAGCGGAAAAAACTCTTGTTTTGGTCTTATGGCGATGATGATTCTCGGATGTCACTAATTTGTCTAAAATTTGTCCACTTGTTTTTAGCTTTGAGTTTCAAGTTACGCATTACCATTGGTATTTTTTGGGAGGATTAACAATTATTTTTTATGTGGCGCAGCAAACCACTAGGATAGTGCGGAAGACTACAGCTTCAATGAATTCGTAAACTGACTTCAAAGTGTCGTATGAGACTACAACAGGACTAATAAGTCATTGTCTTCGGAAACCCAGCCAAAAAAGTACTCTTTCTTACGATTTAACACCCAAGCTACAACATTTTACAACGCCTTGAAATTAACACGGGCTGGAGAGAAACCCAGCTGCAAGTCAAGACAGATTTGATATAGATATATAAGACAAGGATTCCCCTCGCGGTTTACTTGTTTAGTTGTAAACCCCGTAGTTTTGTTTTTATTTTTAGCAGATAAGGAGGTTATCACATTATAATAGGGGTTCTTAACCTGCTGATGCCTATGGATGGGATTCTGGGGTCCGTGAAGATCAGATGAAAAATAACATCTATATGTGTGTTTTGAAAGATTGTTTACTTTAAAGTTCAAAAATACTGTGTATTTTATGTACGTATGAGACAAATCTCTATAAATAAAATACCTCGTATACATTGCAAGTCCATGACTCTAAAAAAGGTTAAGAACCACTACATTAGAGCCGGAACGGACAGTGTATTATTATTATACTTCGGGAACAGCTATCTAATATACTCCAGAATTTACGGCCATGGTACTGCAATATATCAGTTAAAAAAAGAGCTTAATCACCAGCTAATGAAATATTTCACACCATGAAATGAACCACCAACACCTTCAATTAAGAATCCGCAACAAAGGCACAGACGCATCGCGAGCAATTGCAAACCGCATTGCTATTTGTATTGTTTGAGATGTGTGCCAAATAAAATCATGTCTGGTGTTTTCATCGTTATTGCTAAATAATGTACTCGCAGATTATATGTTCACAATTGACATATCAAATCTGCTATTCTGAGCTTACCGTTCTAGGGCCATAAAAGCTATAACTAACTTGGGATGCATCTAAGTAGATAGTAAATTGGTTTTGTTCAGCCGGGTGATGCAACGACGCTGCACTGTGTTGTTTCACCCTGGAGAAAGTGGTAGGTAGGTAGGCTACACTTAAACGACGCCAGAAATGTGGAATAGAATAAAGTGGTTGCAAACTGTTCATAAATAGGGAAATTCGTCCTGTTATTTTGCAGTCTTTTAAGGGCTATCTTCTGAAAATTGATGAATTTATGTTTTTCTTGGTATCTAGTTGAAAGTAAGTACAATGTAGAATTAAATTACAAAAAAAAAAAAAAAAAAACGAACAATGATTGCAGTAATACGTAATGTAATCAGTCAGACACCAAAATCTACACTAAAGTAAGTAAACTTGCCAGTATACTGTATCATCTTGAATGAGATGTGTGTGTGTGTGTGTGTGTGTGTGTGTGTGTGTGTGTGTGTGTGTGTGTGTGTGTGTGTGTGTGTGTGTGTGTGTGTGTGTGTGTGTGTGTGTGTGCATGCATCAACATATACAATATAAACACAAACTCCCTAAAAACTAGTTTATTGTACCTAAGAAACCATAAAGACTCCTTAGACCCTCCTCCTCTTCCCGCAGCAGGAAGGTCCTGCACATTTCGTCTGGACTCGACGACATCTCCCGCGTCCAGTGGCAGATCGTCGCCGTGACCTTCCTGACGACGGCTTTTCTCTTCTTCTGCGTCTTCAAAGGGGTTAGAGTCATGGGGAAGGTAAGTGTGTGTTTTCTTTTCTTCTCTTCTCTCTCTCTCTCTCTCTTCTTTGTGAGGGGTGGTATGTGTGTGCGTGTGTCTGTATTTCGATTGACTTGAGGACCGTGCATTGCCAGGGGATGAAAACCGGTAGTGTATTGTTTAAAGTAGTATCTTGTGTAGAGTTCGTTTTTCCTTCCAGCGAATAAAACAGAAGTAGAAAAAAGGAAGGGGAACCGGATTGCGAGATCAGATGATTATATAAAAAACATTAATAGATAAATAAAAATCGACTTAAAAATAACGAAAGCCTGAATACTAGTTGCGCGAAGAATTCTGAAGAGAGATTAGATAGATAGATAGATAGATAGATAGATAGATAGATAGATAGATAGAGATAGAGAGAGAGAGAGAGAGAGAGAGAGAGAGAGAGAGAGAGAGAGAGAGAGAGAGAGAAAATTTCTGTTGACAATCGGGATTTTGGGTAATGTAAAAAAAAAGATAGACCTCCATATAATTCAATTAGGAAATAAGTTTAAACTACATAGCATTCTTTTACTGATATTGTTACTGTTTTGACTGCTTATACCATTTGTTTCGTTACCAATATCCTAATATAATTTTGTTTTTGTTACGAACACTTTAATACACCATGGTATACGTGTTGACGCCCCACTACTTTGTACCTGTAGGTTGTGTGGTTCACTGCGCCGTTTCCATTCGCGATGCTGTTAGTCCTTCTGGCCCGCGGGATCTCTCTCCCGGGAGCCGTAGATGGAATCCGCTTCTACATCTACCCCGAGTTTGAGAGACTCAAAGAAATGAAGGTGAAAAAGGTCTACATTGAAGTGCGAAAAAGTCATGAAAAGAGAACAGACTATATATGCGTATAAGTTTCTGCCACTTTTTTTTTCTCTCTCTCTGCGTCCCCCCTCCTTCTCGTTCTGTCCCTTCCCTCTCCATCTCTCTCTCTCTCTATCTATATTTCTCTCTCTCCTTCTCACGTGAACATTACTTTGTGGCGTTCTAACCCAGATGTATACATAGAAGAAAGCTCCTTTCATAGGTCCACGATCCGTCTTAAACTCCTAACCAGGTCTGGGCAGCGGCGGCCATGCAGATCTTTTACTCCTTGGGCCCAGGCTGGGGGTCGCTCATCAGCTTCGGTTCGTACAACATGTTCCACAACCGGAGCACGAGAGACGCGGTCACCGTCCCCGTCCTGAACTGCACCGCCTCCATCCTCGCTGGATTCGTCGTCTTCTCGGTCCTCGGCTTCATGGCCAAGAGAGCTGGCGTGTCCGTCGAGGACCTTACTGTTGCTGGTAAGAGAGAGACACCTGACTGCGGAGAGTATGTCATACCACGTGGATACGAACACCACATTCTTCTATCGGCGCGTTTTTTTTTTCTTTTTCTTGTTTCATTTATCGTGAACTCACTCGGGAACCGTAATAAAATGAAAAGGATATCCAGGGCTGTAGTAAACATCTCTATTGTGGCCCGA